TGTAGCACATGCATGTGTGCAAGACTTGCATTTATTCTAGCTCCAGTCTCTGAATTGGGGAATGTCTATGGTAGTAACTTGGCTCAGTTGGAGAAAATCAGTAGAGTGAAGCAGTTGGTGCTGTGGCCCCCACCTCTACATATTCTGCTTTGCAGCACTTTTATTTTGGACTAGATTTAGTGGAGCCTTTCAGGATCAAATATCAATGCCACAATGTGTGTTGAAACTGTTCAGAGCTGTTATTTGCTTGGACCTGTGTGCTCCCTTAGGGGTTGAAGCACAACCGACAACACCATTGCATTGGTACCTTTCCATGTCCAGTTTATATTTCTCTATAAAGAATCCACATCATGTATACCAAAACTGGTCTGTGAACAAAACCATTGCACAGTAAGTGGGAATAGTGTGGAGGGAAGAAGGATTTGCTTCTAAATTGCGCTATTGCTCTGAACCAAATACTAGTGTAAACATAGCCTTCAGCTAACAGAAGGCGGCCTTCTATATTTTACAGACAACAGATAAAGTCAAATAGATTCTGTTCTGTTAACTTTAAATTAATTTAGCCTGAAATGAATGTGAGTACAGAGAGGAACATGATGGGAATGGAAAATGGATTTATGATAAACAAGGCAGCGCTCATTGAATATTTACATGCCTACTTATATGTTTATTTTGCTCATTCTGTTTTTTTGTTGCCCCCCCCAACAGCTCTACCTTTAGTTTAATCTCTTCAAATCTTCTGTTAAAGTATGATCTTTATGTGTGTGTGTATATATATATAAATAACACATATATACACACATACACATACAGAGTATGCCTTATATAGAGTTTACAAATGTGTCCAAATTACAATGCTTTGGACATCCTTTTGAATTTCATGCTTACTTTTATTGACCCGAAGTAAAGATCTTTCATTGCGGGTTAAGATTGCATGTCCTTTTTCTGACCGCAGCAGAACGAAGAGGTTATTATACCTGTCCTGCCCATAGGTATTTGTTGTCCTCTGCTGAAAGCTGCAGTCCTCTTAGATGTGTCAGAAAATACCGCATTTGTGGCTGCTCTCCAAACCAGTTATTTCAGGATGCCTACATTAGCTCAGGTATTCTTAATATCTAAACCAGGTCACTTTGACAGAACTACATTAGGGAATAATTACAGAAGAAGTTGTGCTGACAGATGGGAAGGAGCTGTTGTCTCTGAGCACAGGACAGGGAGGAGCGGTTGCAGCATTGCTGTTGTCACCTGGCGCAGCTGTAGCCAAACAGCAGTTTGGCCTGCATCCTTCTCTTGTTCTTGTCCATTTTTTGAAACAGTCTAAGTGTGGTATATTTTGCTAATAAAAGCAATTAAAATCAAATGTATCTGCTTCCTCAGGGAGAGAAAGCAAACGGGAACCGATTCTCACCACATTCATGGAGGGAAGGGCAATTTACCATTTTACAGACAGGAAATCTCAGGTATAATTATGGTGGGTGGGATTATAATTTGGGCACTCCAGTGTTGGATTATACCTCTGAGCAGTGTTTTGTTTTTCTGTCAGTTTTTCTGCTGGCTGAGTTTTTGAGTGTCATTGATCAGTACCCCACGTGGGGAAAGTGATAACTTAGCATGCTAAAATAAACTGGGAGATGTTATCTTTTGCCACCCAGATAGTTTGCCTGATAACTCTCCCTCACATTTGTTTTATCTTTCCTTTTTATATAAGTCTCCATTTTGTTTTGACTCTTCTACAACGCCTGAAAACTAACCATTAGCGGCAAATCCTGGCAGTACCGAACTTTTTAATTACTAAAAATAAATATTACCCTATGGCAGAAGGCATTGGACACTGTAGAAATGGTAGTTGGCACGAACAAGTTGTCGCCAGCATTTCTGGCGTGACTATGGCAAAGGATGTGGTCTTGCTCTTCCCCTGGTGCCTAGAGGCTCTCTGCCAGTCTGTAACTCTCTGAACTCACTCGGCATAAGATCAGAAAAGCAGCCGCTCAGCTCCAGGGCCACAATAGCCGGGGTCGAAGCAGCACTGCCTGTCTGGCTGTTCCCTAGCTGTTCCGACAGGTTAGCTGCATCATCAAACCGCACCATAACTGAAGTGTCAGGAAGTAGGAACGTAGGCTTTTTCCCCACCCAGTTATATTCTTTTTTTTTTTCTTTTTTTTTTTCCACTTTAATATTTGGATGTAAGTCGTTAGCATCTTCTAACATAAGACTCTGAGGTGTCTTGCATTGTATTTCATGTTATGTCTCCACTGTATACCAAAGTAGAAATGGATGACTTGGACAAGCTTTCTTTTTCAGTAGGAAAAGAGGAGAAGTACAAGTTTGTAGTCTCTGGTTTTGCCATGAAAGAGTTTAAGTAAGCCACTAGTTCAGGATGGATATTCCTATTCCTGTTCTATACTCAAACCCTGTGTGCGTTGTGGAAGCATTCCAGTTTCCTCTTCCCAAATCTGTCTGAGGAACGCTTACGTAGCCGTTATCACCAGCAAAAGTATTGAGGCAGAATATTCCTGAGCAGTTTTTCAAGTGGTCCTAGGGGAGTTAGACTAAACAAGCTGAGGCAATCCAAAAAGTCCCTCACTAAAGCTCTGAAGCCATATGATAAATTGTGTATCACAGGTTAATTGCTATAATTTTTGTGTAGCAAATAAAATAGAAATAATCTCCTTTTAATCAAAAAGAGCAGCATCAAAGTAGGTTTTGTTGCAGTCTTGGACAATACAGCTAAATATAACAGTTTTCTTTATGCATTTCTGTTTGCTCTATAAATCATCAAGTTAGGAATGGATTTTTGCGTCTCCTGTTCTAGAGTTCATCTGTTATCTCTGCAAGGTATCTGTTTTTTTGGATGAGAGTGATGGCTTCCTGCTTGAAAAGGGCATGTCCTTAATGGGTGCCTTTCAGTATTTAAAGACGTCAGTAGAATTTTGTGCCCAGCAATCGATGCTGTTTGTTACGAAGATTTCCTGCTAGAAAATAGAAATACCTTCCTAGTAGTAGAGATCTTTCTCCAAGAATCGTATTTTCAAAATCTGTTTTAGAAGGTTGAGAGAGGGAGAGAGGATAAGCAAGACTATTGCAGTAACTGCTTTTTTGTCATATCGAGTTGGATTCATGAGTTTGTTTTTATTTTTTAATTTAACATGTCTGGCTTAATACTTGAAGGTCTTTTTACTCAGTCTCTACTAAAAAATTTTTGAAGGCATATTTCTCCATAATGACTTTCTTATTTGGGGTAGCATTTTTGTTAAGATATTCTTAAATATAGTCTCATGGAAAAATAGTAGTTTCATTTTTCTAGCTGTATGGTTTTTTAAGTCCAATAACTTTACTAAAAAGTGAAATAACCAGAACAAAAATAGTTTTAATGTACTTTAACATTTTAAATAATATTTGGACAATTTATATTGCATTACTCTCTATAAAATGTATTGAATTGTACAACTGAGTAACAAGGTAAGGGTGGAGTTAGTCTGACAGTTTGTGTTTGGTTTTTATTTGTGTGTTGTTGTTTTGCATTTTTTTGTTTTGTTTTGTTTTTTTTTAAGACCTATGCAAACAGAGCTATGTAACATCCTAATGACAGGACAGCACAGTACAACACCTGCAGGGTGTCGCATGTAAGTTCTAGGATGGCTAGTTGCTGCTGAGATTATAAGGATAGTAATCATTTAACCTCACTGTTGAAAACCAGGCAGTACATTATAATAATGTGCCACATATAAACCTGAGGTGCGCTCTTAAGTGCATCTGTTATCAACAATCACATGATTTGATAATGACAGACATACCTGTATTCTCCTTCCGTCCTTCCAAACTGTTCTGTCGATGTTCCATTCGGTTAAATGCCACTCCAGTAAATGGTACTGGTCTTCAGAGATTCTCCTAGGTATGTGTGATCTTAGCTTACATGTGTGGTCCTCATTCATGAGGGGCTAAGCACTAGGGCTAGTAAATAAGTGGTAGTCCCACCCCCTTCCCACCTCCCCCCGCCCCCCCGCCCCCACCTTTTTTTTCTTAAAAAGAACGAAAAGGAAGATAAAGATGTGGAAGAAAACTGTATTGGTCCCATAATTGAAATGAAGTGGGCTAGAGGATTTACCAGAAGGAGCAGCCTGGGTAGGAAAAATGAAATAAAAAGGGGAAATCCCGAGACTAGCCTTGCAGTTACGTCTCTTTTTCTGTGAAAGAGTTCCCTTTCTGCAGGACTAGCATGAGTGGCATGAGTTTTGGTACGAGGCACGAGCCTCTGTCCCTGCAGCTGCTGCTGTCTGCCCTGTCTGCTTTACCCCGGTGCCTGAATTCCTCTAGCCTGTGGGTCCCACGTGCAGTTGTACCATGTGCATGTTAATACTTGTGACATAAATATCATCTCTATTTGCAGATAAGTGAGGCATGGTAATTTGTTCAACTATGTGTATCAAAGACTCTGGCCAAAACAAGTCCTCTGTTTTCACAAGAAGAACAGCCTCTAAAAAAAAAATCTCCTGTATTTGCCCCAGTTTCTGAGCTGTACCATATTGTCTCTGGTAACTAAAGGATAGCTCACTGTAAGTAAGAGATTCTCACATATGCCTTATGCTAAGCAAGCAAATTATTCAAACAATATCAAATTGATAAGTTTTGTAAGGTAAACACACTGTGTTTATACAGCATATTTAAACATGACCTCTATATTCAGAGAGGGAAATCCTATCCACGTTGAAGTCAACTGTAATATGTCATATTCAGGTTCTTGTGCATGCAAAATACTTTATGAAGAACAACTTTGGTATTTTAAAACATCTTTTATGAGATTGAAGTAACAATCTGAAGTTTAAAGACAGGAGTTTCCAGTCAGCAGTGAAAGACTGTAAGCTACGTAGCTACAATACAGAATTACACAACTACAAGAGTATTTTTAAATCTATCTGCACTTCACAAGTTATTTGCATGGAGGTTGCTCACTTGAGTTGTATATCTGTCTGTGTCTAATGTTTCATTTTCCTTTTTAACAGGTAGAGAGAATTGTTGACAAGAGGAAAAACAAGAAGGGAAAAACAGAGTATTTGGTGCGATGGAAAGGATACGACAGTGAAGATGATACTTGGGAGCCAGAACAGCACCTTGTTAATTGTGAGGAATATATACATGAATTTAACAGACGCCACAATGAAAAGCAGAAAGAAAGCACATTAACCAGGACAAACAGGACCTCTCCAAATAATGCCAGAAAACAAATTTCTAGATCTACCAATAGTTCTTTTTCAAAGACATCCACTAAATCTTTAGTTATGGGTAAAGACCATGAGTCAAAAAATAATCAACTCTTTTCTGCCACTCAGAAGTTCCGGAAAAACAATTCGCCATCTCTCTCTGGGAGGAAAAATATGGACCTTGCAAAATCAGGTATTAAAATCCTAGTGCCCAAAAGCCCAATTAAGAGCCGGACATCAGTTGATGGCTTCCAGAACGAAAGCCCAGATAAAATGGACCATATAGAGCAGGATCAAGAAGACTCTGTAGCACCAGAAGTAGCAGCAGAAAAACCAGTGGGAGCTTTATTAGGACCTGGTGCAGAGCGTGCTAGGATGGGGAGCCGACCAAGGATACATCCATTAGTGCCACAATTGCCAGTGCCAGTACCAGCCACAATTGCATCAGCATTAACAATAAATGGAAAAGGTACGTGTACGAGTCGGTCATTTTTGTGTACATTTTTCATTTGACTGATCTTTTTTGCTGTTCAGATGCCAACAAATTACCCACTCTGTTTCAGCCATGTTAAATCAAGTCTGGAGAACTCACAACTTTATTTTACATAACTATATGATTACAAAGCCATTTCGAATTTTGCCAGCTTTTGCTTTCCTCGCAGACATTCAATGGTATTTGTGTTTTCAGAATCACCATAAGATGCATCTCTGTTTGCTTTGACATTGTGTGGTACACATATTCCGTGTACCACTTCCAGAGATTACATCATTGATTTAAGTTTCTTTAAATAGGTCAAATTTGTTATGAATATTAGAAACATAAATTATGGGAATAGAAGAATGATGTGAACAGGGATTCTTCGTAACAGTATAAATATCTGTTTTGTTATTAATATTGCCTGGAAAAAAAACTGTGACAATGACTTGCTTAAAAACCAAAGGTGATCAGTTTTGTTTCAGTGAAAATTTGAGCCAGTTGTGGAGATACATATGCCTTCTGCCTGGATTGAATTCTGTCTTCATTATATTTTATCAATATTTTGTTGTTTATACCTCATTTGATATTAAGAGCTTTTTTAGGTTTGATGCCTGGTTTGCTAATATCTCAGTAGATGACAGTTTCTTCAACTTGTACTGTAAAATTTGAGACACCAATGAAACCCAAACTGCTTTCGTGAGAGGAAGCTAGCTGTTCCCACCCCCCCCAGCTGAGACCCTCATTTAAGACTTCACAGTCCTTATTCTTGCGCCCTAAACTTTTGTTCTTCCCTGACAGACCCAGGTTGTTGTGTAGTCCCAAGTGTTCTCATAAGCATGCCTTTGAGGCTAAATTTTCAAGTGTAATACTGCATCCTCAAATAAAATGCAGCGGGTAAAATCTGCAGGTATGCTATTGATGACGGCCTGCTGGAAAAATTGCTTGAAAACCAAGGACTGGGACTGCCAAAAAACACACTTAGAGACAAGCTATATAGGCAAAAAAAACCCCATGTTGAAGACTTTAGGAGAGTTTGTTGGATTCCCCACTGCTGCTTGCATTCAGATTATCTGAAAAAACAGCTGTGGTGAGAGAGGTTGCAAAGCGGTGGACAAGGGAGGAACACGCTCCTGGAGCTGCGGTGTCAGGTCATGGACCAACCCATTTTGCTGCAGATGAACTAGGTAACCATGGTAATGCACACACAGATGCCAGGAATATCTCTTCCTTTGCATGGGCTAAAGAAGGAATGCAAATCTCAGAGGATGTAAACAAAGCTGGAGGGGAAAATGCAAGAGATGCCAGTACGTGAGTTTTCTGAGTAGGTGAGGTAGAGGAGTGTGTTTGCGTGTGTGATGGTTTTGTGATAATTAATATGCGTTTTAGAGTATGTTATGTTCCTGGTGAAGTGATTGATAAGCGCTGCCATCAGTGTCCTGTTTTTTGCCTCATGGCATTCAGAAAAAAAATCAGGACACAAAAGCCTTACTTGGGTAGATCAGCAGCCACAAATGATTAAATCATTCCCACCAACCTTTCACTCTGGTAATAGTGGTACATCCAGGGCCCAGTTACAGGGCATCAAGTGAAAGTGGAAAGACCTGCCCAGGAATGGTAGCGACACATAAAATATTAGCTGAGGTGCATTTATCTCTTTCACTGAGATGTTGCAATTCCCTCAACTGCCACCACCTCCTTCAGCTCTTCTTAGGCATTTGTCTGGGCAACTAACATTGAAAGCTATCGTCTGACTGTAGGGGTGATGACAATATCAGACTTTTTCTCACCCTTAGGTTTTCACGAGATCTTAAGCTGTAGATCAGAAAAAGGAGAGCCAAAGAGATAGTCTTTGGTTGCCCAAAACTACACAATATATTTGCACCTTCTATCTGCTGCTGGAGAGATATTAGTTCAAGTACGCTAACTGAGGCTTTCCTTCTTTGTCCTGATACACCACTGCCAATCCCCAAGCTGAGCTGTGCAGTCTGCTGGGAAACGGATGCTAAATATCCAAATTTATTATGGCTTTGCAGGCAGTTACACTCATCTATAACATTTTTGGGGGTAACATCCAAATCACACAGTAGTTCTTGGATTATAAAACTTGGAAACAAAGCTGCAAAAGAAAAATACTTTGCATCTATATCTGATATCAGTCACTTTTCCTAGCTTCTTAAGATTTCTTGGACAGATATCTTTCTCACAGAAGCCGAGGCTCCAGCTCATCTGTTCTGCATGGCCAGAGCGGACCTTTATTTAGAGAGAAGCCAAGAGAGGCAGCCCTGTCTCCTAGAGCTAGCCTGGCCTTGGAGCTTCCTGAGCTGACACATTCTCTGTCTCTTCATTAAAGCTGTGCTCTTCTCCTTGCTGTTTTTATTTTTAACTTCACACTGCTATTCATTAAAATGTTGTAAATCGATGCTTGCTTCCCTCCCTCCCCTGCATGGTGTTGTTACGGTCCTGGATCCTGTTTCGCTCCTTACTCAGGACATTCCTTCTGTCTTAAATGGACACCTCATCACATTTTCAACACCACCTCGGGAATCATACATCATGAGAGCTATCATTGTACAGAAATGCCATCAAATTCGTACCCTCATTGCTGGCTCTTCATATGCACCAGATCTGACATATTAATAATACAGATGATAGATCTGGCATTTGAAGCATTATTTCCAAACTTCCCACCTCCTCCACATACACCTTCTGTTAATTTTAAGAGTTCCTACTTCCACATGGAGGATGCTGTCAGGAAGACAAAAGCATGGTTTGAAAAATAACTTTTTACTTTAGGAATTTTTTATCAAAACATTTTTGTTGGAAAAACCCAGTTAGTCAAAACAGAAACCACTAATTGGAAAGTATAATTTTGAAAGATTCCAGAAAAATACATATTACATTTCAAAAACTTTTTTGACAACTTTTTTCATTAAAGCGGATTTAGAATTTGATTTTTTTAAGTAATATTGGAAAAATTATTTACAATTTTGATATGAGAACAGTGTTCCTAATTTTGAGATTATTGCTGACTGCTTTTGAATCGTGTGACTCGTGTTGGTTTTTTAGTCCTAGTTGAGGATAATGAAACTCTTCAGCGTTTAGTCTGTTCTTTGTTTGTTTTCCCCAGTCTTGATTTTTTTTTTCTAAATTTCATTTTTATAATAAGAGTACACATCAGGAAAAAAAACCTTGTATGCATAGGAAAATCCCATGACTGCAATTGCTAGGAAATGTTAGTATTATTGTAGCGCTTAGTTGTGCTTTTCATGACACAAACTGCCATGATGCAGTTCTTGCTCCAGAGTTCCTACAGTCTCAGAAAAGGCAACCAGCAAATATTTATACAAATATGCAGGGGTACAGGGGGAATAAAATAACAGTAATGTTGCTCTGGGAGTTGGTGGTTTCTGCACACTAAAATCTAGCTGCTGTCCAAAGTATATTTTTTAACAAAGAAAATCATTGTATTGAATGTTCATATTTTAAAGGCTGGCCCTTGAGAACACACTCAATGGAGTAATATACTACATACAAGTCTAAGAAGGGTGATATATGGAAGAAGTGGAAATCGGTCACTGAATGAACATTGCGGTGGTTCTGGTTTTTTGAAATACGTGGTGATCATCAGCTGTTACTAAAAGTTAATAGAAGCGATCCTTAAATAGATGAATGAAACAGAAAAACACCACCAAAGAACAGAAATGTTGTGGAAAAGGTGTTAACGGCACCTACAAGCAATGGATATTACTCAAAATGAGCCAAGACAAAAAGTGGCCTTATGTCTAACAATAGGTTCCGATACCTTTAAAGTTTTTGAAAGCTTCCTTCATCAAAATTGAATAAAAAAATAGCTTTGAAATTTTATCGCAAATGCTTTAGGCATACTACACTCATAATATTCAGGGAAGTTCTTTTTAATAGAGTACACAAGAAGTAAAACTGTAAAGGGAATTAATCTGTCAGTCACACAAGGCTAGAGAGTTGTCTTGCAATTTTAGAAAGGACTACAAGACTAGATTGATGGTTCACCTTCTGCAAAAGTTAACCATAAACCAGGTGAATACCATTGCTTGGCAAATTCTAGTTGCCTTGCTGTATTTTTTTTTTATTGGGTCACCCTATAGTTTCTACAGTTTTTATTCAGCTAACAATGTCCAACATGTGGATGTAATTGAGAATAAATGCCACAAGAAGGGACGTTTTGGGCAGAAAGGCATGCAAAGCTCAAAGTATAAAATGGGCAAGAAAAGCACATCTAGCTGCATACGTTGTTATAATGAGAATAAGGCAGGCTGGTGGCTGGCATGTGGGAAGAGGAGAAATACAAGAAATGCAGTGAATTACATCCCTTGTTAGACAGACAAGCACCACCAGTGTGCGGGGTGGCAGTAGCATCTCCCTCCTTGCACCTATTAGTTCAGATGAATAACTTGCAGGAGCAGTAGGCTGTCTGACAAGACAAAGGTGATTGCAGTGCATCACCCTACAAGGAACAAGGATGTCTGCTGATTTTTCAGTTGGAGAATGGTGCTGGTTTTATCTCAAAATAATGGTATTAGCACCAAAAGAAAAGCCAGGCATCAGGGGAAAAATGATTGAGCTTAAGTTCTGTTTGTTACCTGTTCTCTCCCTTACGCAAAGCAGTTTATGGGATTAAAATCCACAGATTCAGAAAACCAAAAATCCACTCCAACGCCCAAGGAAAATAGCATCTGTTGTTTGCTTAAGTCTCTGATAGCTTTAGTCTCAACACGAAACAAGCAAGCATAGAAGTGCTTACGGAGGCAACTGGCACTGGGGAGAAACATACATTCTCAATACAATGCCAAGCTGAGCTGGAAGGAGTTCAGCTGCTCCCCGTTCCTTAGGGTGAAGGGAGCTCACCCAGTTCCCTCCCAAATTCCCCCAGTTACTTTCTTCCCTCTCCCTGTATGTGCCCGGGTGTTGCGCATTACGTGAGGAACAGTCCAGTCACCAGCGCAGCTCATTAG